GCATTCGGGTCCGCTTTTTCTCTCTTTCCTGTTTTATGATACCCCTCTCTCATTTCGCAACACTGACGCGGGAGCGTATGCTAACATACGATCACTTCCCTCTTCCCTCTAGGCAGTTTTTCTCATGATACCTAAAACACCATTTTATATGCGCGTCTCTTCTCCCTCTCTCTTCATTTTACTATCGCCCTCTTTCGATTCAGCGCTCCTTTTCTACGCCGACGAGGGCAGTGTCGAGTACCGAGTTTCTTACTCAGTTAAATGAAAAAACCAACTGCTTGTACTGCATTACCGTTTACTGGCCACTCCGTTTATATGGGCACTCTATCTTGACCTTCAAGGTAGTGCCGATGGGAAAGCTCCCCTGTGCGTCATTGAACTATGCAAATTCGCAGCGCGCGCGTTACCTAAAAGCGGACTTCGAATCTCTGTGTCCAATCGGAGTCGTCTGTCTCTCATTGCTGATTAGCAGTGATTGGCATGTTCCGGTAGAACATACTGATCTATCACTGTGTTATTAGCACCTGCACAGGTTTCTTTCCGGTGCAATGCCGCGATGAGCGCCGGCGTCAACGTTGCCACTAGTGTAAACATTTACGCCCGCTGCTTCGCATTTATTCATGGTATCGTTAACGGGAGATGGTGTATTTTTTGAACGGAGAAGTGTTTTACGCTTTGGCCACCAATTTCTGAATGAAATATTTGCGTTACAAAACAGTGGGCGAAAGATTACGCGCGATAAGAAGACAAAAAAAAAAGAAGTTTTCTCGTGCCCGCCGCGGTGGTCTCCTGGCTAAGGTACTCGGCTGCTGACCCGCAGGTCGCGGGTTTGATTCCCGGCTGCGGCGGCTGGATTTCCGATGGAGGCGGAAATGCTGTAGGCCCGTGTGCTCAGATTTGGGTGCACGTTAAAGAACCCCAGGTGGTCGAAATTTCCGGAGCCCTCCACTACGGCGTCTCTTATAATCATATGGTGGTTTTGGGACGTTAAACCCTGCAAATCAATCATCAATCAAGAAGTTTTCTCGTCGGAAGTTGAAACCGTGAACTATGGGTGCGCGGCCACAGATGGCGGGCATGCTATCTAGCGCTTCCTGGTCACATGCATTTACCCCCTCAAAGTAATTCTTTCAGCGTCTTCTCAGCGTTCGTGGTAAAGTGCGGTATTGCATCATGACCGTGAGATCGTTTTCTAGGAGGCGTTGGTCAGATCTGCGATTACTTCCATCGAGGCATTGTTTCTAAGCTTCCACCTCATTCGGCGCGAATATACCAGGAGTATGTGCAATTTTGTCAATGCGAACACACCCCCAGGTGGCGATAATACTTCAAGCACCGTTATAGCTCACAGCATTCATCCATAACAAAGCTTAGCCCTGCAACGTATAGAGCAACGCTCCTGCTTCGTCTAGATGTTCTATTTCCACGTTCGCCAATTTAACTAGCGCCACAAAAAATTGCGGGCGGCCAACAGACAAGACACAACGTGCATAGCGTTTGCCTCTGGTCGGGCAGGGGCGTTCAAAATACTCTGCATTTGGCGAGTATGGGGCCTTAGCTCAATCTTGGCGTCCAGTCACCTTGTTTTTGCTTTCACACAGTTTTCTCTGGTTCCACACTCACATATGATCACTAAGGTTTGTTCAATTGTTATTGATTGATATCAGTCATAGGATGAGGATGTATGACTAAGCATTAACATGTATGTATCCACTTTCAACGGTGTTATAGCTGTCAAATACCAAGAAACAGTGTGCACTACAGAAATGATAAACTATACTGTAAAGATACGCTTTACTCTTGTGTTTTACCGATCCTTATGACGACGGGATCAAATATCTTTTTTATATCCCTATCCCAATCGAACACTGCTATAATTACTAAGCACCCCGCCTCTCTGAAAAGTATAACCCATAAGGAGCAGCTCAAGGCTGACCCACATAGCTTGAAACCCAACATTAAGGAGGCCCTCCTTGCTAGGACGGGACGGACAGGACTACGAATAGCTACCGCGTAGAGCAACATCTCTCTCTCTCTCTCTCTCTCTCTCTCTCTCTCTATATATATATATATATATATATATATATATCCTTCGCTTTCTTTGCCTTCAAAAAGGTAAAACTAGTTTTTAACAACATCAAAATATATATGTTCTTCAAAACGTTCACATTAAATAGGATGAAGCATACAGGCGCTGTAAAAACAACCACAGCTACTTGGCCGAGTGTTTCTGGACGTTATAGCAAAATCCGGCCCTAGTGAGCCCTTCAGTTGCTAAGTGCATACTTGATTGATTGATATGTGAGGTTTACCGTCCTAAAACTACCATATAATGAGAGACGCCGTAATGGAGGGCTCCGGAAATTTTGACCACCTGGGAATCGTTAACGTGCATACAAATCTCACCACACAGGCCTACAACATTTCCCCCTGCATCGGAAATGCAGCCGCCGCAGCCGGGATTTGATTCCGCGACGGGCGGGTGCTAAGCGCATCCTTATTTATGTTTTGTTACACACGTACGCACACACGCATGCACACAAACAAGCGCCTGTACAAGCGTGAGCGCTTACTAACACACAGACACATACGCACACGCGCCCGCGCGAGAATGGTACATAGAAGTTTTTGATCTAAACCAAGAGTCGCATGGCATCCAAGATACACGCCACGCGCTTGCCATTTCGTAGGCCATAAAGAGTCTCACAATGCCTCACAGGTGGCAGAAAAACATATAGCGCTAGATGTTTGCTTGATCAACGCCTCTGGAAAACATATGTTTTCCGCTAATTGGACATAGTTGTCCATTTTAGAGCCGTTTGAAAGTTCCGGTGAGTTTTTAGCGGTGATTGTTGCACTATTCCGGCCATTTTCAACGTAGTTTCATGGCCTCCAGGATGTACCCACAAATCGCCGATCGGGCTTGTTTTCGTCGTGACACCTGTCGAACAAAATGCGTTAAAACGACTCCTTCCACTACATGACATTTAGGTAGGGTTTTTTCCCGAAACAGCTCCAAGTAACATCGTTGCTTTTTGGTAGAACACCTGCTTGCCATGCAAACGGCCTTGTTTCGATCGGTAAAGGGACCGAAAATTTTATTCTTTATTTTATTTGCTTCTTTCTGAAATTCTCGCTCACGGAGGATTTATCGCTCACAACGAACGGTGCCGACGCCGATGGCAGAATGTCTGCGACACGAGATCTTTAACGCTATCGCGTTAAAAGTTGAGTTGGCCACGCGGTGCTGTGCATTACATCCATTCGACCTAGTAAATGGAAAATCTAATTCTTGAATGGAAAAGCGACGTGAAATCCCCAGGCAAGGGCAAGGTTAGTTGTTGGGGCGCAAGAAAGGCCCTCTGAATGAAATGAACTGAAATCACAGGCACTGGTTAGCGTGACATTTTGCGGCTGACTTCTATTAGCCTTCTTATAACCGTCATTTACGAAGATGTCTACGTGCTATGCAGAACTCTGTCGAGGCGTCCCAGTGGTGAACTCACAGGCGCGCAGCGTCGTTTTTTTTCTTGCAATGAAATGTTCTGACGTCATGTTCTTTCTTTATTATTTACGCAATAATGGCTTTCGAAGATCATGTATCAAGCATGCTTCTGTTTTTGCACTGTAAAAGTTTGATGAAGAATATTCAACTTAAGAGCTTTTTATTTATATATGCCCATTTGCGTGACTTTTTTTGCTTGATTTTTGTTTTAGCTCATTAAATTCGAAGCAAAGACAGCTTAAACATCTGTATCCATCTTTATATATATATATATATATATATATATATATATATATATATATATATATATATATATATATGTGTGTGTGTGTGTGTGTGTGTGTGTGTGTGTGTGTGTGTGTAGAGAGAGAGAGAGAGAGAGAAAGTTACTGTGGAGCCAGTGTTTTCCAAACTTCAAAATAATGGTTGAACGTGCGAAAACTTTTTTCATTCCAATGTTTCAGCTGGGGTCCGGCCTTCGTCAGGGAACACAATGCATAATAGAATGACACTCGTTATATACGGGGTACAACAGGGCGCCCCCTTCTTGTGTTTATTTATATCGTCACAGACATGATAAATAGATGTGAACATTGGTTCAATTTGATTGCGCCATAAAGAAGTGAGAAGACTTGTACGGAAGTAATACTATGGAAAAAAAGATCTTTTTTTAAGTATAGGCGCGTGTGCACTAAACAATACATAACCAAATCAATACACACACTGAAAACGATACAAAAAATCTACAACTGCAATGCATCCTGAAAACACAATATTACCAGGTGTAGAGCAACCATAAACAACGGTGAAATTTTGCAGTGAAGATGTGCAACCAGATGCGAGACAATGGGCTAACATGAGTAGACCAATAACAAACAGACAGTGAGGATGTGGAACAAGATGCATCAAAATGCGCTAACACAAGTATACCAACAACGACGAAAAAATGAAAATGTGGACAAAGATGTACAAAAACCGTTGCCTGACGCACTATCAAAAAGACATTGCTATCGTGTTCGACATTTAATCGTCAAGCATAAGAGTGCCCAAGGTTCTTTCATTTGATTTGCATTGTTCTTTACATTTTTGTGACGGGAAATATAAAACACGTGTGCATGAAGAAATGAGTCATGCTGTCCAATCATGTTCAATTCGGCTATATTTCTGCACTGATGACTTCTGCATCAACGGGCTACATTGTGAACGTTTTCTTATAAGAATCTTAATTTATTCGCCTTTATGTTGCCCCACTTCAATTGAGTCGTTGCTTACTTCATTCGTTCATTGGGACGGCTCCCTGCTTTCTCATAATCGAGTACGAAGCGCTCAAAATGAGTAAACACTTTTTCTGAACACATGACAGTTTGAGTGATTTGTGTCTGCTCTTTCTTTAATATAAGTTCATTTGGTCTGTATGTGGCAGCATTGACGTGTTTGGCTAGAAGTGAATGCGTATAAGTTAAGCGCGAAACACTCGAACAATAATTTGGATGCGTGTACCTTTATCACTGCCACCTGAGAAAAAAATGAGACTCTATCTCTTTCGTGCACTGTTCATATATGTCTTCAAGCTCGCCTTAAACGGTAAGTTATTTCTTTGATATGCGTTATTAGTTCGCCGTGTGATAATCAAGAATATGTATTTTCACGGTTTCCAGAAGACCCGGAGTGAAATAACTTAATAGTACAGACTAACACGACTCTGGTATTAAAAAATTAGACGACGCTTCTGATCAGCATTCTACAGCAAAAGTCCTTGCAACACGTGGCCCAATTCACATAAATTAATCCGTCGATTACCTGGTGCGGTTTTCTGGTGAAAACCTCAAGTCTCTTGCAAAAAAGTAACGTCTATAAGCCAGAAATTGGGTGTCTAAACTACAATATAACATCTTGCAAAAGCTCTGTTGAGAAGCGACCATGACGCTATAGTTCTTCCATTCGCGAATCAACTAAGTACCCACTCTCCGTCCGTGACGTAACACGCTAGCCTGCAGAGCTGCTTAATTTCGTGATGGATCACTGGTGGATGGCGTTCAAATATTTCTGAGCGTTTTGTAATGAATGAGTTTCAAACAACTGACTGGCTGTAAAAATTAGATCGATTGACACTTGGTGCGACTGCACGCTTCCGCCACCAAAGGTTATATACGTCAAGAAAGATTTACATTTCTAGTAAATAGCGTTTCAGGATAATGTTCATCCAGAAGTAGCATAAATTGTTAATAAATCTGGCACCTAATTTGGTGGGCTAGGCCTCCCAAATTGAGAAGTCAATGTCTCGGGCCCAGAGGGAGGCTGCGTCAAGTCACTCATGACCTCAACCATTCTCTGCTCACCGACTCCACGAATTTAACGCGTAAAGGCGCGCGTTAAATTTGTGGAGTATGTGCCGAGATGCCACCTCGGAGCTAACGCTTCTTAGCAGCGTGCACGACGCGTGTTGGTCCAACGAGCCTGAGCCTGTCTGAAGGGACCACTATGTCAGCGCCAGGCAATTCCGCACTTCCCCGTGGAAGCCTCACGAACACGCAGGCTGCCATAGCGTGTGAGGCATGTTCATGAACACCGGCTGCACTCCACCGCCCTCAATATCAGAAAACGTTTGTCGGGAATAAACCAGTAGGTGGTGGACGTCTATGCGGTCATCCCGTTCATTCTTGCCTAGGGGAACCACCCAGCAGTCGGCTCTCCCTTGCCCACCTCCGGGCTCTTTATGCGGGCCTCATCAATCATTGCCATAAGCAATCACGCAGCTATAGCTTACGCTATAGCATCTCACTTCTCACAGAAGTACAGGGAGTGCGTCAAAAGCAGAGCAAATCTATTCCTATTACCAGAGTTCTTTGTCTCTGTGGGAGAGTAATACATAGTTAGCCGCTGAACTTACTCTTTTTTGGAGAGGAGTGTAAAAGAAGCTGTGAACGCTCAGCTTCACAGGTGGAGTTTCCACTCTATGCAACTATCGTGCTGACGTGGCGCGAAATGGATCTCGCATGCCTCCTAGGTGGACGAAGTACTGCCTAGCACTTAGATCGTACCACCGACACCGCAAAAGGAGGTAACTCTCTCGTAATACTACCCATCTAAGCATTTATATTGATAGGATAACTTTCAGCGATGCCAAAAGCAGGATTTAATAATCGTGAACGCTTCGTTCTCGAAACTACAAACGCTACACATTCGAAGGAAGCAAAATCGGCAACTTCTAACAAGGAAACTAATTTACTAACTAGTTACGGCACAGACTTATTGCTACTAGAGTAACTACAAGCTCCAGACTTAAAAGAGGAATGTGTTTTATAAAAAAAACTTAAGAATTCAGACCTGTCACTTCCAAATTTTTAAGCCAGTAATCTACCACCACGCCACGCTCAACCACGCTGACTGCGCGGTAAAAAAATCTGCTTAAAGTATGAACATATCCGTGGAGTAAGTGATGATGAGTGGGGCGAGGCGTCCATTCGTTCATCCATCCATGCGTTCGTTCGTCCATCTCTGAATCCATCGATGAGTCCATCCGTGGGGGCATCTGTCTGTCTGTCTGTCTGTCTGTCTGTCTGTCCGTCCGTCCGTCCGTCTGTCTGTCTGTCTGTTCATCCGTCATCTATACGAAATAATCAACTATAGAAAACCCATTTATGCCATATAGTTACAGTTCCTAAAATCAAGTAAAGTGGCTACTGCTGCTCCTACTACTGCTACTAGAGACACGACCAACACTACACGTCGTTCCGCTTCCCGAGTACATATTTGAAGAGAGACGCGATGCGTCTTCATAACAGGGAAACTGTGGCCGGCCACGTAAGACATAACGCTATCCAAAATACCAACTTCTTTTTTGAAATCATACAGAAAAAGACATCAGAAAAATTACCGAGGAGGCGAGGTGGTTTATCGGGTGTTACTTCCGAGTCGATGAGACGTTTCTCCCTGTGTCTTCAAGTTTACGCGCACAGAAGCTCTATGTCGACTGTAATCTTCGATTAGTACGCACTTGATTTGTGAACGTGTATTTTCTTGTGCAAACGACGATATGCTGATTGATATGTGGGGCTTATCGTAACGATACTACCATATAATTATGAGAGACGCCGTAGTGGAGGGCGCCAGAAATTTCAGCCACGTGGGGTTCTTTAAAGTGCACTGAAATTTGAGCACACGGTCCTGCAGCATTTCTGCCTCCATCGAGATTGCAGCTGCCACTGCCGGGATTCGATCCCGCGATGTCAGGGTAAGCAGCCGATTACCTTAGCCACCAGACCACCTCGGCGGGGCTGGCGACGATATGCTAGTGCAGCGGCTGTTTCAGTGTGTACTGATGTGCACGTGTAAACCGATAGGTGCGACTCCGTAGCCGATTGCTGAAAAACAAATTGAATCGGCACGAAAGCATCTCATCACGATACTTCATTGATTCGTACCAAATGACAGTCCTGTGTTTGCATGCATGAGATGCTGAAGGGCCCCGAGTCTCCCCGGTGGATTTTGGTGAAGCCAGTGTGCGTTGGCAGAATGCGCTCGCATATATGCTCATCGCTCCTTCTGCGGACACCGTAAGCAAATACACAATAGTTCCTTCAGTGGTTTGTTCAGGCTAACCGATGGCAAGGCTCTATACTGTACAGCCATTCTTACTCTTCGTAATTCCGTATCATCAAACCTAGAAGTGCCGATGACATGTATGATGGACTCGGCCTGTAAGCTAGGCCTCCATTCGCTGGGAGTCGTACCCGTACAGGTCACAGTTAGTCGGACCATTCTCGGCGCAGGTGGCTCTCGGAGGTTGAAGTTTGAGCACTTCACCAGCCTCTCACCTCTACATTATAGTGCAGCTGAGCTAAGCAAAACTGTAATGATAGCTAGAGATGCGTTTGAGTTTTGTTTTTTTGGCGTAATAGTACAGGCCGCAGCTACGCAAGTCGCAATGTACGCCGGATCAGAACGTCCGGAGGTTTTATTGCGATAGCAATTATATAGACACTCTCGGTTGGATTTTGACGACGGCGTCGGTGTCGATGTCACGCACCATATATATATACGTATCTACTTGTATGTAAACGCAAGAAGAAAAAAAATCTAGAACAAAAAACACTCCGGCGTGTGAAATTGAACGTGGGACCTCCTCGTCGTGAAAGCGAGACGTTAACCACCGAGCCATTCTGGAGCACATCCTTCGCAGTTCAATCGGCGACCTACTTATATCTACTACTTACCGCTGCTCACGAGCATCTTGGGGGGGGGGGGAGGGGCATTGTGTTTTCCGCATTACCAGCAAGAAGGCACAATGGCCACGCGACCGCGCCTGCTCTAATCTCCTACGCCTTGTTTGCCCGGCTTAGAGAAGGAGAGCGACGCTCCCTCACGCGCCCTTATCTCGCAGCGGCAAAAAAGGGAAGGTCGTACGCCTTCGCTGGCCTCGGGATTTACCTGGAAGTAAGAAAAATAGGAGGAAAAGAATGGCAGGGAGGTTAACCAGCCTGAAGGCAGCCGAATGCTACCCTGTGCAAGATAGGCGAGTGGGGGAGATGAAAGCGAGAGAGGAGAGAGGGAAGAGAGATAAACACAGAGCATTAGGCAGCACACGCCAGTCTTGTCTTTCACGGTGCGTGACATTGCTGTTACAGCCGCTTGTTCAAGTCCATGTCGCGTAGGAATTTCAACAGTGCTTTTGTCGCCTTCTGTTTCAATGTCTTCTCTCAGGCACTGGAAAGAATAGTGTCCACAGATATTCGGCTGTTGTCAATGTGCGCAAGAACGGATGTCAGTGGCTGTCTCTGGGTGTCATACAATAGACAGTGGCACAGAATGTGATGTAGCGTCTCTTCGCAAAGACAGGCATTGCAGAGGGAGCTGTTGGCCATTCCTGTGACAACTGAATAAGATTTTGAAAATGCCACCCCTAGCCATAAGCGATGAAGAAGGGCGCCTTCTCTTCAGCCAAGCCCAGTGGGAATGCGGAGAGCCATTAAAGAGGGCAGGTGGTGTTGACGATTTCTCTGGATGGTCTGGTTGCTTGGTGGGTACCTTAGTGAAAACGTGATTTCACGCGTAAGTCGTCGAAGATTACTGGCATCATCCCCGAAAATGGTATGGCTTCTTCTCGTGTTCCTTCAAGAGCTGCCAGTGCGGCAGTATAGGTTTATCCGTTCCCTATGACGCCGCAGCGACTTGCCAGCCACTGAAACGTCACATGATGCGCTTTCTCGTGTGAACTGTGGAGGAGAAGGCATCGAATTTTGAAAACGCTGTTCATTCGGCCCTGGACGCAGTGCTGAAAGCACAGATTGTAGGGCAGCCCTTGAGTCGCTGAAAATCGACCATTGTTGCGGTGGTTCCCGATTGACCATACAAAGTCCAGGGCGCAAAACAGCTGGTTCCGCTGCCGTAGATGCCGTGGAGTGGTCAGTCCTAAAGCTGATGGTAACACCTCCTGCCGGGACAACTACTGCAGCTGACGAACACTGGCGGTTCCGGGAGCCATTGGACACTGTCTCAATATTTCTCGCGCAAAGAAGAGACAGTTGTTTCAGCACGGGCGATGAGAGCTCAGATTTTCTTGGATCTCTGGTACACTAAGATGC